CCCTCCCCGTCCAGACCTCAAAGACTCCACGAGCACTCTGACTCAGGTAGGTACAGCTGATAGCAGCCTGGCTGATCGCGTACGCTCGTTACGATAGTCACAAGGCGTATGGGCGTATGGGCCTTACAGCGTGCAGGTTCCGACTCCTTTCGAAAAGGCGAATAGTCCTCGGAAGCTCGTATCTCCTCGTAATCGGGTGACCTTCGCATAGTGGCCATTCCTGGGCCCTAAGTCCCGGCCCAGGCAAAGCGTGGCTGGCCCAGGTTTTTATCTCGCGGGCTCCGAAGCCCGCGCCCGCTAATGACCCTCAGATACGGTCCCACCGTTTGGGCCCCGGCTCGCATACCGACAAATGCATACGGGGACCATCCTAAAGCCTCGTTCACACGCGCTCGCCACGCTTACCTTCTCGCCTTCGATATATACTCTTGTCTCGCTCCCTTTCTTTCGGCGCCATCCACACTATGCCTGTATGCGTGTAAATCAGTCTTCTCTCATATCTTCTTTCTCTTTTTTCTCTCTCTTTATTTATTTGCGCGCCATTCTTTACGTATTCCATGGCGCCGATCGCTGAATACCCATACGAGATCGATCGCGCGATCGGTTCGACCTGCGAATTCGACGGAGAGCCAATCGGGACAAGAAAGCGCGATTGATAAATTCTGCGAAACTGTGAATATTTAGATTCCTAGGCACGGATCTTACGTGAGAGAGTACCTCGCGGTATTGGCTGACCGCCATGAATGATGTATGAGGCGACATCCTTGAACTGACGCTGGATAAAGGACGATAAAAGAAACATGGGTACACGAGAGGAAGGGACAAACCGATGCCAATGAGCAATAACTATCTGGAATATATATATAGTATATACGTCCCATTTGACTAGAGTTCTAAACTAGAATTTCTACGCCTAATGGAGAACATGAATCACCGCGTACTATTAATCTTAACACCGTAGTAAAGCGTCGCAGCCCCTTTCGAGCGCTATCGAAATCGAATCCGTCCAAGCGGATCCTGCTGAATGAAGGAACTTCCGGTACACGTCGAGGAAGAAGAGGAGATAGGTGAATTCGTCACCGATGTCAATTACGAGAGCGTGAGAGCCGTATGAAAAAAGTGAGAAAGACTCAAAAATGTCTCCAGGTTGCTACGCCCTATGCCCTTCTCTGGTTCTTACTTTCCTTAGTGCATCTTCATTTTTCATACCTCTCTCTCTCTCTCTCTCTCTCTCTCTCTCTCTCTCTCTCTCTCTCCCAAGACTTTTTCACTCGCGTCCCGACAGCCGTGACGAAAGTAATAATCGCACGATCGGCCTCGTCGAGCGATCGACCTCACGAGGATTCTCCGGCCGATCCATGGCCAGGGTCACGCGAAGATGAGGAGGTTCAGGATGAAAAGATGGAAGGACACGGAACGATTTGTCACGATGGAAAAAACGAGCGATAAACCGCGATAAAGTGTAAACGCGCCCTTAACTTAAGCGACGGGGACTTCACCCGAGGTCTCATCTTGCTCCCTGACTCTTCCTGTCTCTCTCTCTCTCTCTCTCTCTCTCTCTCTATCGTTTTCTCCTTCTCTCTTCCTATCTCCGTTTCTCTCTACACGGCCACACAGAGATATATATTAAAAGCCGAAGAACTACAATACTTCATAATAACTCATAATGCACGCCGATCGTAAAACCTAAGAGCTTATCTGCGGACGTCTGTCCGTTCCTTCGTTCCATCGTCCTTTCGTTACTCGAGTTCGTCCACGCGTTCCTTTGGGTGTACTATCTTTTTGTTCCTTTTGTCATATAACCGCCGGGAACTCTTATATCCCCGCTGTTGTTCTTTTTCATTCTGTCTCCTCTTTCTCCCCACGGCTAAGGCCCACGGTGTAGACGTACGAAAATCTATAGGGGGGACGTATTGGTGCGTCGGGCCCGGAATTTGTCCACTCAGAAGAACATAGATACGGAAGTGTCCTTCCTGAAACCGAACCTGTGTCTTCCGTTAATGACGATAATGATTCTCGGTACCTTCCTTTTCGTGTGTCCTTTTTCCTTTTTTTTTTTTTCATAGTGAAAAAAAAGTCATCCTCGACTGAGAAATAGCTAGGACCTCAGATCCCGGAAGCGCATTGGCCACCAGCGATTCGTTTGAGAATCCACAAAATGTTCCGAGTCACCGGGTAAAATTCCATGGAAGTCCTTGGGCAGCCCTCGTTGTCATCGTCCTCGGCGCGTACCTCGTCGTCATCTTTTTCCTGGCTAGTCGAGCCTCGTGGGGCCCCTACGTAGATGGACAGCACACCTCGTAGGTTTCGAGGGCCTCTTCACGAGCAACGGGCAACACCCACGGACAAACGGACCCAGGGGAAGAAGCTGGAGGGTCGGGCCCACAAGGACCATACATAGTCAGCATAAATTAGGCGACCCAGGGGGTTCTGGAAATCGGGCCCCGTACCCGGCTTCCCAACGATTATTGTGCTTGGATTAGATTTATTTAGGACCTAGACAAACACGAGTCCCGACATACTTCCCCAACGACGCCGACCATCATCCTCGCTTCTTTCTGTCTTTTTAACATGGTCTTTCTGTCTCTCCATCTTCCAACCTCTTTCTTCCTTCCCCTCGGTACTTTCTTTATTATCGCTTTCTCTCCTTTTATTCTTATTCTCCTCTTTCGGACACTCCTTCTTGGAAGCATCGCACCACGAGTCCCTGATTTATCAAGAGCGAACCAGCCGATGTCCTGCAGGCATTCCAGCATCCTGTCCCGGCGAAAACGGTACGGGACGCATTGCTGGTTAATGCTGACCATCCTTCGATGCGTCTACTAATTCCCCGTCTTACGTCGGATACGCAATAACCTCATCCATCTCCAGGCGAATTGTCCCAGTGAATTAGTCTCGCTATGAAAAAAAAAAAAAAAGAAATACAGGGAGATGGAAGAGAATGAAAGATATGTCCGTACCGCCCTTTGTCTCCTCTTGTACAGAAATTCCAAGCCTTAACTGAACCTCGAGCCTTCTCAAATGATTGTACCCTACAAAAACAAGTCATTGTTAACAGAACAATAACGAATTTTTATTGCAAATTTCTAAAGAAATATTCATCCCCTTTAAATCAACAATCGTTAAGCGATCAGTGTTCCTTCGTGAGTTTAACACGCACGTATTTTTTCATCAGGTGTCTCCTTCCCTCTCTCACATCCTTTCACACTCTTTCTCGCCATCTTGAATCTGCTCTCACCCTCTCTCTCTCTCCCCCCCCCTTCTCCCCCTCTCCACTCATTCCCTCCTCCTCCTAAAGGCCAACACTCACGATGCGAGAATCTCCGCGGTACCTACTCGTGGAGAGAAGCCAGTAGGTCCTTATCTTATGTAGAAAGGTGGTGCGGAGCTCACCGGACCCCTTTGGAAGGCCCCGCATGACATTAATTTTGAAATATTATTTGGGCCCCCTCCCGTGGCGAGCTCTCTCGCGGGTGTGTCCCGTTAATGCGTGTGCGTGGTACGGGCCCAGTGCATACGCGCAGTCGGAGCCTTACACGTCTTGAGAAGGAGAGGGAGTAGGACGCGCTCGTAAGGGAACCGAGGAGACGAAAGAGGAAGCAAGATGGCGAGATTGACGGGAAACGGGGTAGAAGGAGGAAGGAAGAAGAAAGAGTAGCGTACGACTCCAAAACTCGAACTAACTTATGGTAGCCAAGAGTAGTCTTCCCGCCGTGCGCGCCACGAGAGAAAAGAAGGCACGATAGAAAGGAGAGAAGAATCGAGGTGATGGGGAAGCTGGACCGAGGAGGTTTGCTGGACGGATATAATAAAAAGGAGTTCTCCTTCCTTCTCTGCTCTGCCGATCTGCAGTACTCTACTCGCGGAGGCACATTGGTGCAAACGTGGGGGCGGCTCGGGAAGGTGGGCTTATAACCGACAGAGAAGAATATGAAATAGTGTTACTGGGTCGTTAGTTACTCCGACAATGGGGACCAGTTTTCGCGCTTCTTTCGCGTCTACAATTTCTCTCCCACTCGGTCGATTCCCGCCTTATCCACTTTACCGTACGGACAATCCTCTTTCAGCGGTTTCTCTTGATCCAGCGGCTATTTACTGTACCAGATGAATCGGACGAAGAAATAGGAGGAGCCACCGAGTAGATAGTAGCTGACGTACAGGGTTCTCAGAAGGGTTACATGTGTTTGGTAGACATAGCAATTAGAGCCTGAGGATGTCGCAGGGATCACGTAGGACCCAATCGAGGATTAACGTTGGGACCGGAGTGTCTGTAGTGTCTATGGAGCGATAGGATCGCTCTTGGTATGAGCGAATCGATTGGCAAGAATAACGTAGCGGCACGGTAACGTAACGTAACGTAATGTAATGTAAAGCGCGGTATGTATATATATGGGATTGAGGGCGTGGGGCCCCTGGGCCTTACTGCTGGCAGAAGGGACTTATGTACCAAGGCACAGGCGGCTTATCGGGCGTACATCCTCGCTCGCAGATTAGCATAATGTCTGCCGCAGTGCGTAGGTACCCTACCCCGATGCCGGCACCATCGCCAGCACCAACACCACCACCACCATCACCCTCGGTACCTACTGGTACTGGAAGGGGCCGTGATTATAATATAATAATAAGAATAATGCTAATAATAAAGGAAGGAAACCACCCTA